TTAGTCCAAAAGCATGGTAGACAACTAAGAATATTCAAAGGCTGAGCAAGAATCCAACTTCTGCCTCTAAAATTGCCCCTTAATCCTGTGAAAATCTGGCCCATCAAATAGATGAAACATTTAGTTTAAAAAGCAGTCAGACTTGTAGTGGGAAGTAGTCAATGAACCCTTTCCCCTTGTGGGGGTGGGAGGGAGATAACAGTGAAACCAAGTCAGTGGTTGAGATTAGATAGAAAGAGGAAATTACAACTATAACAAAATATTACATAAAAGCCAAATCAGCACAGAACAAATAAAATAATGCATAACAGGAAGGGATCCAAACCAATACAAACAACTGCAAAGGGTCTTACTGGCAGGCTTTCAGACACCAAATTTGAGGAGGACAGAAACATTTAATTGTTGAGTAATACTTCTTAAATGATGTTTTACCTCAAGAAAATCACATCAGTGAAGAATGTGAAAATGGTTGGGCAGCTGCATCCATCCCTTCTAACCAAAGCCCAGCTGCAGGAAGAAAAGCCAGAAACAGAGAGAAGACAAAGAATAATAAATGAGAGGATGAGATCTATAAAGAAAGAGAGAAATTAAAATAAGACAGTGAAAAATTAAGCTGCAACTCAGAAATATAGGCCAGCAAAAAAGCTTTCAACAAACTGTAGTAAATGTAATGTTTTTAAACTCAACTATTGAAAACAAGTCTTTCTGAAATTAATTAGTAAGACCGGAAGACACTTAGTATTCTTGTCTCAGTGGTGAAATGACTGCAAAATAGTACTATGCACTCACCATGTGGGCTCCATGTTTGCTAAGAGCTGTTTATAAAGTGAGCATAACTGAAAAAGTAAGTGAATAATTGGATACTTTCCTCTGATATCTGACTGAGACAAAGTACAAATCCTCCATGGTTCTCTGATACAGCAAAAAGGAAAATATGGTTTGTATCTTAGCAAAGTATATAATAAACTTTATATTAAAATTATGATAGTGGTCTAGAGCTTTAAACTTTTACAGTAAACAAATGTAGACTGTGAGAGGCAATTCAGCTCAGGGGATGGGCAGAGCTAGCAGATTACCTGTATTTGAAACCCATTCTGCCACTTCCTAGTTATGTCCTTAGTGAAGTTCCTTAACCTCTTTGAACCTCAGGTTACCGATAACTGAAATGAGAATAATGGTACCTAACTCACAGGATTATTGTGAAGAGTAAATAAGCTAAAATATACAAAATCCTTAGTAGAGTGCTTGTCCAGAGCTCAAAAAATATCTCTCATTATTCTGTGTATCATGCATGCCCTCTATGGTGTACTCCAAAAGGTCTGCTTTGATTTATTTCATATTTAGTGCCTGTTGTTAACACATATAATATGTTTAGTAAATAAGTAAGTATTAGATGACCTGTACTAGGCACTTTTCCTGGACTCAACATTGCAGGGGGGAAATATGGACCCTGCCCAAAAGGTGATTATTCAGTGAAACAATCTGTGACCAATTCCAGAGAGTACATCTTTGTCTTAAAGTGGGTAGTAGAAAGATCTAAGTTCATCTGATGTTAAAATGCAGGGTAAATCAGTGAGAACGGGGGTAATTGCAGAAGGCTTTGGAGGAAGTAGAAAATAAAGTAAGCCGTGGAAGATGTATGTAATTGAGACAGACATAAAGGGGAAAAAAAAAGTGCTTCCTGCTAAAGGAAATGATGTTAGCAGGATTATGGATAAATATGGAGTGTATTTGAGACTACCTTTGTGTAATTGAGACAGACATAAAGGGGGAAAAAAGTGCTTCCTGCTAAAGGAAATGTTAGCAGGATTGTGGATAAATATGGAGTGTATTTGAGACTACCTTTCCTAAGTGAATGGAGATTTTTGGAGACAAAATGGGAAATGGGACTATTTTATAGAATTGGAGTAAACTGTGGAAGGCCTTAAGAGCCTGAGGAGTTTTTACTTGAAATATTATGAGATAAGGATTATGTCTTATAAAGTGAGGTGGTAGAAACAGTGTTTCATAAAAATTGGCCCTTTTAAGGTATGCGGGCAGATCAAAATCAAGAAAGTGTAGTATAAGAAGGTTTGGAGGATATTGCAGTCATGTAGGTGTGACATGATGATGTACTAACTTAGGTTGAAGAAAGAGAAATCTAAGTTTTATTGTGAGTGAAATGACAGTCACTGGAGGGTTTTGAATGAAGAGTGATATTATCTGATGTGTTTTTTAATAGGTCTATCTGCACAGTTGAGAATACATTGAGAGGGTCAGGAGGGAAAACAGGGGAGACCTGATAGGACCCCATTTAAATATATATAGTTCTCAAAAAAAAATGATGGTAGCTTGAATCTCATGTGACTGAAGAAGAGGTGGGAAGTAGCTAGAATTAATATATTGTGAATAGGCTTCTTAGGCAAGTGTTTTAGGCTATCACACAGGACTCTGCCCTTGGTTTAATGTTCTGCTGCTATAGTCTTGAAATTCTTAATATTCTTAAATAAATGGCGCCACATTTTCATTTTGCACTAGGCCTCACAAATTATGTAAGCAGTCCTGATTGTGAATATAAAAATGACAGAATTAATTGATGTGTTGGAGTTTGGGGGTCTGAGAGTGGGGGGAGGAGCCAATAATTACCTTAAACTCTGGGCCTGAATATTTGAAAGAATGAATTTAGTGAAATGGAAAAGACTATGGAAGCATAAAATTATGAAATTATGAGAAGGGATCAGAAGCTCAGTTTTAGACACATGAAATTTGAGATTTTTATTAAGTATCCAAGTAGAGATGTCTGAAGTTCACAGCAATGTTTCACAATGGATATATGTCTGGAGTGACCAGCATTTGGGTGGTATTTAAAGCCATTAATTTGAAAGAGAACATCTGCGTAAGGAGTATAAATATAAAGAGAAGTCTAAGCACTGAGCCATGATGGGGCAGCAGCAAAGGTGACTGAGCAGGATCAGCCACAAAGACATCAGGATACTAGGAAGACTGTGTTGTACTAGAAACCAAAGAGAGAAAATGTATCAGGAAAATGTAAGTGACAGTACAAGTAAATCAAGGGCTGGGATTTGAGCACTGAATTTAACAACATGGAGGTCATTAGTGATAGCATGGTTTCCATGGAGAGGTGGGGTTTTATAAAAGCCTGCTTTGATTGGATTCAAGAGAGGAAGAGAAGAGACAGCTTAGGAAGTATAAGCATAAACACCTCTTAGAAGCATTTAGCTATAAGGAATGGAAGAGAAAGTAGCTGGAAAAGAAAGTAGAGGTCGATGCCATAGAGATATACAGGAGAGCTGGCTGACTAATCCAAAATGGGATTTTAGATTAATAGCTTGATTTTAAGTACACGGAGTTTGGGATTGTAATGAGTCAAATGGAAATGTCCATTAGGCAACTAGAAAGGTAGAGATAGATAGTCTGAGAAGAAGAATTGAGGCTTTTTTCATTGTTTAGACTTTATTCACACAGAAGTACAATTTGGGGTTGTAGTAAAAATAAATTAGCTCATAATAAAAGTGTATGGAGAACAATGGAGGATTGATGAAATCAATATTCCGAGTAAAGTAATAAAACAAAATCAAAAGCACTGGGCTACATTCCCAACTTTAACTCCATTTAGGTGTAGTTGTATTTCCATTGGCAAATTAAGGTAACTATCTGCATAATTAAATGTGCACACAAAAGCTTTCCAAATTAGCTGGAAATTTTACACAAAAAGAGACTCCGTTATAAATGAGAAAATCTATTATTAGATCCTTTTTTTTTCTTTTTTCAGTTTACACAGACAGGTTACAGATGAATGACCCTGTTTAATTTATAGCAGGTTATTTAAAAATAAAGCAGTCTAGAAAACCCTGCCTGCTCACTGACAACAAGGACTTCACCTTCCACTTGGGTTTCCATATCCATAAAGTTGAGATTTTTAGAATTAGATGAAGATGCAAACAGAACGACATAATTTGGCTGAAGCATACCATTTGTCAAAATGTATGAAGTACCAATGAAGGAAACGTATCAGCAATGATTGCTTTTTACCAAGGACTCAGCGAAGTCCTCACAGTTCTGGCCTAGTGTGACTTGTAACATTGCAAACAAAATTGAAGCAGTACTAGCTTTCTAAGCAAGAACTTGCCACCCATACATGCACACATATGAAAGAAAACGCAAGCCAGTCACACAGCCCTAGAAGTGGAATGAAACTTTGGGTCCTGTTCTTAGTAGAAGGAGAGTCAGTCAGGTTACTCATTGAAATGACACTGATGGCAAGACAGGTCACTCCTCTGCAGGCATAGGGTGCTTACAGCAAATGGAACCGTTCAGATGTGGGGGTTGGATGCTGATGTTTTCCTTTGTTTTCCAAGAAGATCCCGCTGACAATGATTATTGTCTAAGGATTGTAATCTAAGAAGCACTATACAGAAATATAAGAAATGTCACATTGGAACTGACAAATGAGCTTTATTATGATTCTGACAGGGGCACCAAGGGACATTCTGTGACAGAGCATAAATGTTACTCCAGCAAGCCAAAGACTATTGCTCAGAGAGTTCTCCCCCCACTTTTTGAGGCACTTCAATAAAGATCTCAAGAAGAGGACATGGGAAGCCAGCCAGAAGAATATACTTGGCACATCCCTGCATCTTCTGGGCCCCAGAAGGTGGCAATGATAGCAGCTTCACTTCAGCTCCTGAGGAGAGTGCCTTGGGAAATGAATCTTCACCAGAGAAACCAGCATATCAATATTCTTGTAGGCATGCAAACAGTATTCTCTGTACTGTCATCAGCTAAGCCTAGATGGAAGTAATTGTTTTTTGGATATCCAAGATTTCCCAAACCCTAATTTCTGCTCACTTCTCTTATCTTGGCCTGGGCATTCAAAACATTCACCTTCAGACTTTCTCAACCAAAGTTCCTCTTTGGAGCCAGAAAACCCAGACAATAATTCAAGCTACAAAATTAAGACCTTTCTAGAGGCAAAAGAAACAGGTTTATTCATCACATACCTGTATGCTTTAGGGTTTAGTGCTTCTCCTGAATAAAGCTGGTCAGATTGCAACTGGGGTTAGAGGGTAGATCCCAGGAGAGTCAATCATGGATGTCGGGAGATAGCAGCTCTCTTTCCAGTATGTTGGGCTGGAACGAGGATCCCTGGAACCACTGGTGAGTATGTTCTTAGCCTGCAGAGGAGAGAATGAGACTACTTTACAAGGGGCGGAGCAGAACCAGTGTGAGCAAGAGCTAGAGCAAGAGGGCAAGAGAGACCTGACAACATCGTTTGAGTCTCCGAATCTACATGAAAGCCAAACTCAAGCCCACCCATGAGCTAACTCGTTACATGAGCCAATGGTAGTAATTTTCTTAAAATTACTTTGCAATGGTTTCTATTACATATAATTGAAGAGCCCTGAATGATATCATAGGAATGTATCATTATAATTAGTCAACGTATAGGAAAAACTCTTAAATATTTAAAGCATTAGGTAAAAACAGCAAAGATATACTATTACCTCTCCTAGCCTAATTTCCTTTTTCTTAATAATAACTATAATATTTTGTATCTACTAAGTGCAGGTGCTCTGCTAGGAATTTTACAATAATTAGCCCGTGGAAATCTTATGAAGTAGGAATTATATCTATCTTAGCAAACTAAGAATCAGAGAGATTACAAAATTTGTATGAAATTAAAATTCTAGCAGATACTAACTAGAAGTGAGATTTGGCTCTAATTTTAACTGAAATTTAAATTATACTACCAGGCTACTAAATAACATTACTATGCATATAGATACTAAAAATTAGTATACACATCATGGAAACTATCGGCCTTCTATCTACTCAGCAAATTTTTTTTATTTCCTTTCTTATATCAGAAGAGAAAATAAAAATAATAACAGTTTAATAAAGATGACAGTTAAATTTAGAAAATAAAGCATAATATCTTAAATTGTTGTCAATGCTATATATTTGTGCACATTTTTAGAAGATCATATCAGGAGCTCATCAGAACATTGTATTATTGTCCTAACTGAGATCCCTATAAAAATTAGAGAAAATGTCATTCATAATTAATGCTGAAACCACAGAAGTAAACTAGGACATATAGTCACCCTATTTATTTAGCATTTTGTGGTGCAGAAACTGAAGTAGACCTGTGAAAGTAATTGACACGAGCCCTTGCAGAAAAAGATATTTTATTATTATTATTATTATTATTATTATATCAGTCTATATTTTCTGTTCTTAAACTACTTTCACAAGCCAAGTAATACACTTTGTCTATTTAATCACTAAATATTTATTGTGTAACTACTCTGTCTGTGAGCCTATAAAAACCAGGCTGGAAACAGCCTAAGTGCCCATCAGTAGATGAATGGATTAGAAAAAACTGGTGCATTTACACGATGGAATACTATGCTGCTGTAAAAAAGTAGGAACTCTTACCATTTGCAATGGCATGGATGGAACTGGAGAGCATTATGCTAAGTGAAATAAGCCAGTCAATGAAATTAAAATATAAAAGTCCTAGAAGAAGAAAAAAACAAAAAAACAAACAAACAAACAAACAAAAAACCAGGCTGCTCCATAATCCAAGTCTTAAGCCTCTGCTTCAAGTTTGCCCATTTTTTTGGTTTTCCTCTTAAGGCCTTCTTCTTTTTTGGCATCTTAAGGAGTTGTTCTTCCTGTTTTCTCCACTGTCTGATCATACACTACGTGGGAGGAGGTCCAAATTGTCTCTCTACAGCTCTATTTCCATGCTCTTTTGCATAGCTGATTACATTCAGTTTGCAGAGTAAGACAACCGCTTACCAGTATTTATCTTTTTATTTTTTGACATCTTTATGGGCTCAGAACGCTCTGGTCCCTATAGCATCTGCGTACTCTCCACCTCTACCTCCAATTATGGCATCAGCTGACATCAGTAACAATGAGGCTCATACATTCACATGGTTCCCTCCTCGTCTGACTTCCATGTATAAGACGCCCCTCGATTTTCAGTCTAATGATTTTAGAAAAAAAATAGCATCTTGTACATGGAAAAATACTGCATTTCCATCATATCTCATATCAGCATTCACCTTCTCAGATTCGTGTTCTAATGCTGTTAAACTGTTCTAACATCATTGATTATTTTAATTGCCAGTATCAGAAATTTTATTCTCTGTCTTGGATTCCCCCAACCAAAACTGAAAACTTGTTGGTGCATGTGCTTAGAGTATAGACAAACAAAAGATGGTTTGGGGAGCAACATGTTTTCATTGGTATTCTTCTGAATTGTCAGTGCAGGCTGATTTTTAATTAGTTTTGGTTTCATTTTTAATTATACGAACAATGTCCCTTTTATTGCCTCCACCCAGGGTGGACTGCTCCCACAGTTCATCCTTGGTATGCCACTTATACAACTTTTAAACACTTTAAAGGTATAAAACTCCAGCTTTACATATTTAACTGACTATGTACACTTCCACCAGGTCCTTCCACACAGACTTCAACTTCTGCAGATCCAAAGCCAAACTCCTTGGATCTCATTTCTTTCTCCCACCAAATCTGTCTCAAAGTTCCTCTTATTCTGAACCTTTGTGGGAAAACAACCCATGTAATTCTACATAAAACTGGCTTTTCTACTACACTTTGGCCTTCCTCTTTCCTAGTCATTTTTCCCAATTTGGTATTTTGCACTTCATTTTTGGTTTGTTTCTTTGTATTTTTCTTTGGCTCCCATCAAGATAAACTATACTATTTATAATTAGCATGCAATAGCCAATGTAAATTGTAATTGTGAGAAGAAATCCTTATAAATAGCTGTTATATATATATATATATATTAATGTGTCCTTGTTATAAGCAAAATAAATTTTACAATCTACTATTTATAAGTTTTTATTGCTGGTAGGAAAATAAAAATTTGGACTATCAAGAAATACCAATCACACACTATTCATAATGGGCTTACTTAATACCTGGCACTAAATTTAGCAATTTATATACAGTATCTAATTTACTCTTTACCACAACCTATGACATAGACATTATTACTGGTAATTCACTGAGGAGAAATTTGAAGCCAGGAGACATTACATATGTTATACAAGGTCATGCTATTTAACAGATTAAGCAGAAATTTGGACTCATTTTTGATTAATTGCAGAGATTGTGCTACATTAACAATTTGGTTAAGCTACATCTAAACTACTTGTGTGTACTCCTTAAAAATATATTTTGAGTAGAGAGAGAGATTGATAGTTATGTGAGTACGATCACTTTCTCAGCACAGGTATAGCAAATCACTAATCTTTGACACTTTCCTAAAATGTATCAAGGAACCATTTTGGAGAGAGAGAGAGAGATGGGGGGGGGGAGCGTTAGGAAAGGAAAGGAAATAACTTCTCACTTCCTTGGTTGATGTTCAAAGTCCTGAGTCAAATGAGCAGGGAAAGTGTGAAAGCAACGCAGAATTTTCCTTTTTACTACAGTGACAGATGTTATCTTACCAAAATTTTTTGCACTTACCTATTTCATTATTTTCATCAGTTTAGTCATGCACCAGTGTTTGAAGCTGAAGCTGAATTCAAGGGAAATGCCACAGGCAAGAGCAACTTTTCAGGGACAAAGAGATTCAAGTGGTAATTCTCCTCTTGCAGATCCTGGCTGGACCCCATCCCAGGAAAACACTTCTGCATCCTCAGGACCTCAACTGAGCTTGAATGAGATGCTGAGAACTTGAACTTATCCTATCATTCTGGATTTCACATTTCTACTCTGAGTATAGACCAGAGGAAAATAATAAAAAATACAGCCAACTGCCAGAAACTTTCTGTCACCTCGGTGCATACATAGCTACTTTTTAGCTGACTGATTTTTATTGTTAGATTTTTTAATTGCCCTGTTAGAATTGTCCCTTTTCTCCTGGCAGTTTCTTAATACCACTATGGGGAATCTTTTGTGCTCAGAACAGTGACAGTACCACAGAGATCCCCAGATAAGCATGAAAGCCTGGATCTAACATCTTTTTGTTGCTTTCCTCCTATCCAATAGGCCTGCTTGTGTATCTTGCTGCTGTGATAGGAGGACTTAGAGGAATGCTTACTGAGAAAAACTAAGAATGGTAGGAAAGCAGAGAGGAAGAAATCCTTGCCAGAACACTGATTTGATGACTGATCAAATCGCACACACATTATGTAACCAGAGAGCCTACAGTGGTGAAGACAGCAGCAGAGAAAGTGAGAGACGGAGAAAGCCAGCTCCCGGGCCTGCTTGGACAGCTGTGCAATGCTCTCCAGGAGGACAAAGTAAGGAACCACAACCACTCACTCTTTATTCACAGAGAGAGAACGGTTTTGCTCATGTCTGTGGAGTGCTTTGAGGACTTTGGAACAGAGGCATTCTATTAATATAAATATATTTCTATGTATGAGGTATGTGTGTGTGTAATTTCTCTTGAGTAATAGGAAAGACAGGGAGACTTTCCTACATGACATGCCAAGTACATTTCATAGTCTCTGTATGTTGTGTGCTCATATACCCAAGAATTTTACCGGTAAGTTGCTTTCTGTCTTATGAAAAATGTCTCTTGGATGTATTGGGTTTTCAAATATCCATGGTACAAAATGGCAGCTTAACGCTCTTCACTCAGTGTCCAGCCCACGAGCAAATCCCAGGGCTGAGCTAGTGATCCAGCTGAACTTCCAGGCACTATGTCCTTACTCTATGGCTCAGTAGCCTGAGACGTAATCTACCAAATAATTTGGGCATTCTTCAAAATGATTTTCCCTTGGGGTAAGAAAAACACAGTTGGAATGATGCAGATATTTCACTGCATTCAACAATAAAAGGAGCATTTTAAATAAGTTTACTGAGACAAGCCTAATTGTTTTGTTTATGGTTGATGTTGTTTTTGTTTTATTTTGTGGTTATTTCCACTAAAAAGGCCAAAACAGTATAACTTTAATCAAAATCCTTTTAAAGGAATTTTAACCTGATCATCATGATCTAATCTCTTACTCTTTTTTTTTTTTAATCACTCAGGATTTGGGGAAAATACTTAATTTTCAAGTGAACTTTTATTAATGTTCATTATTGCACTATTATATGTATCTTGACTTTTTGTTTCTTTTTTAAATTTATATGTCATTCTTCTCAAGATGTGAAACACTACTTTTCTGTTTCACGTGAAAGACAA